TCTGTTGTTTGTTCTCATCCTGGCGCAGAACACCCACGTCCTCTGGGTGAGCAAGGGCAGAGTACTACCTTGTACTCTGTTTTCTAATTAAGAAAACAACCCGAAGCTTCTCCCTCCCCTGCAAGTGCTGGGCTGTGATTCCTGCCCCACTCCCTTGCTCCGGGAGGGGAAGCTGGAGCCCAGCACTCCGGGCTCGGCCGTTTTCGGGCTCGGGTCCCTTGGGGATGGGACAGGGATGGAAGGGAGCGGGGAGGGAGCAGCTTCGCCCCGTACCCGGGGTGCTGGGTGAGCTGCGGGTGTGCGTAGCCTTATGTAAGTGTACAGCAAGCGTGGGACATGTCCCGGCAGCGCCCTGCTCGGGGCCTGGCTGGGGCTGCTCTTCTAAATCTTTAGCTTGAGGGCGTTCAGAAACAACTTGTTGTCTTTTCTCCTTTTATTCTTTTTCTCTTTTTTTTTTTTTTTTTTCCTGCTGCAGAGCGAGGCACCGGGTTGAACCCCTCTGTGTGATGGACGGAAGGGCGCAGGCGGGTGGCTGTGTTTGCAGCTTTTTGGGGCTGCCCTGGCGATGGGAAGGCTGGCAGGGCAGCGGCCGTGGGAGCTGCCCGGGAGGTGCCGTGATTCATGGCTTAGAGCTTTTTTTCGAGTTGTGAAACAAAGCTAGAACCATCTGCAGGAGCTGCTTCAGTGCAGCGTGCCTTGCCCTGAGGTCCTGCGGCCGGGGAATTGTGTGTTTCTAAAAGTCACACAGCTCGAATTTAACAAATTCTGGCCACTCGTTGGCTGGGGGTTGAGGTTTCCTAACGTTTCCCTGCTGTGGGAGCGGTGGGAAGGCCACATCCCAATCGCCATCAAAGCTTGAGAGATTTTGCAGGTCTGCTGCGGTACCGTGGGGTTTGGGGACCCTCGGTTTCAAGACGGTTTTGGCTCGGTTTCCCACCATCGTGGTGGTTTGGGCTGCCAGTTTGGCCACGTCGGCAGTCGAGGAGCTCCGTAACCCTCCAGGCTGAGCTGCCTGGTCCGGAAGAGCCGGGAGAGCTCCTGGCCTGCAGCTGGGCAAGGACATTCCTGCCCTTCCGCGCGTGACAG